TTAGGAATGTGTCTGGAACCATCTCTTGGCTTAGCCTTCCCCTGTGGTGGCTCCATTGTCAAGCAGGTTGTGCCCTGTGGCATGGCAGCAACAGCCAGCAGCAGCTCTGGGCTTTCACTCTGTGAGTTGACCATAAGGAGGTAGAAAATAAGAGCATCATTCCCAGTAATTCAAAAGTCTCAGGGGGTGCCTGGGTGGCTCGGTTCGTTAAGCATCCAACTTTGGCTCAGGTCACGATCTCATCCTTCCGAGTTCAAGCCCGGCATCGGGCTCTGTGCTGACAGCTGAGCCTGGAGCCTGTTTTGGATTCTGTGTCTCCCTTGCTCTCTGCCCCTCCCCCACTCATGCTCTGTCCCTGTCTCTGTCTCTCTCTCAAAAATGAATAAATGTTTAAAAATTTAAAAAAAGAAAAGTCTCAGAGCCAATGCCAACTTGAGACCAACTTGAATGACGACCTTGAATTGGGTCTTCCCTGACCCAATTGTTGCAGTTACGGAGAAGAGCATATTCTATTCTTTTTTTTTTTTTAATATTTTTATTTATTTCTAGGAGAGAGAGAGAGAGAGAGAGAGACAGCGTGAGCAGGGGAGGGTCAGAGAGAGAGGGAGACACAGACTCTGAAATAGGCTCCAGGCTCTGAGCTGGCAGTCAGCACAGAGCCCGACGCGGGGCTCGAACCCACAAACCGCGAGATCATGACCTAAGCGAAAGTCGGACGCTTAACCGACTAAGCCACCCAGGCGCCCTGAGCATATTCTATTCTGATAGGTGCCTGCCAGGTCTGGGTCACACGTCTCTCCCCTACCCCAACCCCAGACACAAGCAGCATGAACCACACCTGACTCATGGTCCAAGAGTGGGGACAGATGGCTTCCCAAGAGATCATCAGAGTGGTACCTCCAGAAGAAAGGGAATGCGTGGTGCAGGCTGCATCCACAGAACTCCTCAGTAGACGGCTAAGAGTTTTCCCAAGTGGGACAGGCGTGGTGAGCAGAAGGAATGGGAAACGAAGGGTTTAAAAGTAAGAAAAAGTTTAGTTTGGGCTCAGCCTATCTGCCCAGGAGCTTAGATTCATCATCCGGGACAGAAGTCCCCAATGAATGACATACTGTGCAATGTGGGACTGTCCTGGGCCTGACGCAATCCTGGGCACACAATCTAGATTTGACACTCCCCCAACTACAGGGGGAGAAAAGCGCCACAATAACTTGTACTCTATCAGCAGTAGCAGTGGCCGCGAGAAGCTGACAGATAAGAGAAGCACCGTGCTGGACACAATCAGCAGCTCTAGAACTGAGCAGCGTGCTTTTTGCTAGCAAACTGCGATGCGTGCGAGAGCCACGTCACGGGCGTAGCCCACACGCAGCCCAGGAGCCTCGTCCTTAGGCGAGGTGGTCAAGAAGGGTGTGCACCTGCGGCTCACATCCTGCGGGAGGTCCAGGGCCCTCCAGGAGATGCGTGCCAATTGCGGGAAGCTGCACCGGGCCCTGGACCACAGCCTCCACCTGCTCTCTCTCCATCCTTCATTCAACTGGTATTCACTTAGTGCCTTTTATATGCCAGGCTCTCTGCCAGGCACTCGGGAGTTAGCAAGAACAAAAAGCACCCAAATCCTTGCTTTTACGGAGCGTACATTCTTGACGTTCTCAGCTCGGAGAGGACAAGGACAAGGAAGTTGACGCCTCTCGGACGCCTCACCGCAAAGGCGTGTCAACAGCTTTCCTAAAGGATGGAGGCCATGAGGGGCATTTACCTCACAGCAAGGCACACAACCTCTCTCTTTTTAAAGATTTTATTTTTAAGTCATCTCTACACCCAACATGGGGCTCGAACTCATAACCCTGAGATCAAGAGTCGCATGCTCTGCAGACCGAGTCAGCTGGGTGCCCCAGACAACCGATTCTCGGCAGTCCCACAGCACGTCACCACATACGAACATCTCACTAACTATTCTGGGAAGGTCTGGCCTCCAGCCTCGGTCCCTAGCACACTTTCCTCTCCAAGACCCTCCTGGAACCCCCTGGCATTTGTTCACAGAGCTTCCCCTCAGTGTCTGCCTCTAGATCTGATCTGTGCCCATTTTAAGATTGGTCCTGGTCTCTGAAAAACGAAGGGCTACCCACTGGGAGGAGAGGGCATTTCTCTTCATCGTTCAGAGGCTCCAGCAGAGGTTTGGAGATTTCTGTGTCTCCTTTCTTTCTCCCTGGTCTCCCTACATGGATGAGAACAAGGGAGAATAGTGTTTTTGTGCTAAGACAAATTGTGTCTACACACACCCACCTTTTCTTTCTCTCTCTTGGAAGGTGATCCTGTCAGTTTTCTCTCTAAGTAGCAATATTTTTGTCATCTTGATACAGATCATCTTTGTTTACTTTTTTTTTTTTTAAAAGCAAACTGTGTAATAGTAGCCCAACTCCAAGCATTCCATTTACATAATACTGTGGAGTGTGCAGACCGAACAGCTGTACGAGGCAGCTCTGATTACTTTAGGTAACACAGTGCAGGCACACAAGCAGGTCACTGGTCCCCTATTCCTCCTCCACTGCTAAAATAAGGAATTCCTTTCTTTGGTTAAGAGGGTAGCGAGTAAAGGACTTTGGTGTGTTTTTCTCTTGAACGGGGCAGGCTTCTCCTTCTTTTCCCATTTTACTTCTGCTTCTCTTTGAGGTAACTCCCCTGCACCCCACCCCAGTACCAGAAGCCAGTCCTAGGCAGGAAAGCCACATTCTTTGGAGGGCGGATCTCAAGCTTATCAGGAGGCAAAAGCCACCATTATAGCTGCAAAGCCCGAATGGATGTAGGGGAATGGATGAGAGAAGAGAAAGGACGGAGGCACAGGATGGGCTCGCCTCCTCCGTGTGCCAAGGCCACTCCAAGGCATTGGCCTCTCTGTGCTCAAGACAGAACACACGTGAATGGCCACTTGGGTCTAGGTCTTCCTCCTTGCCAATCTCCTTGCTTATTATCCAGCTTAGTTATGATCTGTTTCCTTCCTTCTTTCCTTCCTTTGTGACTTCCTTCCTTTCCCTTTTTCTTCTTTTAAAGGATGTTTTCCATCATATCCATATGCCCTGGAAAGGGGGTTAGAGAAATGGCTTCAGAGCCCACGGGCAGCCTCTGGGTGAAGCCTTGCCTCAAGGCTCGGCCATCCCGGAGAAGCAAAGAGCAGGCACTTCTCTTTCCCAAAGGGCCAGAATTCACACTGGGATGGCTTCTGCTGCTGGCTTGTGGTAACTCGCTGTGACTAAGCCAGGGTCATGATGAGTCACCCACAGCAGGGAAGGTGCCTTTGCTCCCCCCCACCTTCCCTTCCCAGAGCAGGCCCAGGAGTGTGTGTGGAGCAAATCCGGAAGAGGTATGCTATTCATATGAAGACCAAAACCCAAGGCTGACTGATTTTTGTTTAATGCCTATTTCTGCCATCCTCCCCAACCTCGTGTTCCCCTCCATTCCTATTCCAGAAGGCTGAGGATACAGCACAATGACCATAGCTCTCTGTTCCTTCCAGGATGTGAATGCCAGCTCCCCACTCAGCAGCCATATGTCTCTGGACAAATGACTTAACCTTTATGAGCTTCATCTGTAAAATGGGGCTAGCTGTAAAATAGGTTGTTAAGAGAATTAAATGAGATGACCCACATAAAGGCGGTTAGCAATTAGCTCTATGCCTGGCAGGTAGCAGTCCCTGAATAAATGTAAGCCGTTATCATAAAACATTTGTGTAGTGCCTTCTACACTAGCTGCTTGGCCTCTGAGGAGCTCTAGCGTGGGATACAGGCAGATCTGTAAACGAACAATTATAGTCAATGGGTAGGAACTGTAATGGAAATAATATGGACACAGGGCTGTCCATGCAGACAGGGAAGGGATGGGTGGTCAAAGCAGGGGACACATTTGAGATCTGGAAAGGAGTGAATACGTATTCCCGGAAAAGAAACGCAAGGTTCATGTAGGAGCAAGTAAGAGGAGACTGCGGCCCCACTTTATGCTGGGAGCTACAGAGAGTTTTCACACCTGGAGACCGTCAAAAGTTGCACACAGGGTAGCAACAGAGCCGTGATTCAGAAAGCCCACACTGGCAGATGTGTGCAATACATTTGGGGCAGCAAGACTACAGAGCAGAAGTGAGCAGCTGTTCACAGGAATGCAGATATAGAATACAGAGATAGACATGATCATGACAGCAGGAAGAGTAGAGGATCCCTACGGCCACAATTAGGGTTTAAAAGAATCTGGGCAAATGAGAGATTCAATACAGAGAGCTCCATACCTCTACCTCGCTTGGCATATTCTGCTTCCTTTGTGTTGAATGCTCTTCCCCCACTTGCCATTCAATAATCGGCTCAATCCACCTCCTCTGGTAAGCCACTTCGTATTGAATCCCTTTACAGACTGGATTAGCATCCCACCCCCACCCCCCACAGGGTTCCTAGAACCCCGTTGTCGGTTCCCTATCACAGTACTTGGCATTCCTTGGTCATCGTTTCCTGGTTCCTCCCACTGGTGGTGAATTCGGTGAGGTCAGGGCCCAGCTTTGATCACCTTTGCACCCACAGTGGTGTCAATAACTGCTTGCTGAATGAATCAATGCTAACAAAACACTTTAGCCAGTCCAGAGAAAAGCTGGAGCAACCTCCAGAAAAAAGACTGATGCCTCCCACAGTTCAGGCCCTGGGGCCACATCCATTTTTTGTGGCCTGGAGTCGCCGCCTAAGAAATGCTGGGCCTTCCAGGAACTCGAAGCCTGGTGCAGCGAAGAGCCCGGTGGCCCAGAGCGTAAACACAAACCTTCGCCGACTGCTGGCTAAGCCCGTACCCCTCGCCCCAGACTTCGCCTGTCCATCCGCTGCAGTCCCGATCCTCGCCAGGCGGCGACGCACGAGAGGACTCATGCGCAGTGCGCGCTCGAGCCATCTTTGCCCTTCTCCCAATGGCGGCCGGCGGTCCCCTTCCCGGCATCCTCGCGGGGGCAAAGCGCGCGTCATTTCCGGTGGGGAAGGCCCGCGGCCGCCGCCGCCATTTCGGGCGCTGCTGTGAGACTGAGACCGGAGCCGGTCCGCTGGGCGGCGGGCGCCGGGGCAGGAGGGGCGCGCGCGCGCGCGGCGGCGGCGGCGGCGGCCCAGCGTATAGGCGCGGAGGCGGCCATGGCGGGCAACTTCGACTCGGAGGAGCGGAGTAGCTGGTACTGGGGGCGGCTGAGCCGGCAGGAGGCGGTGGCGCTGTTGCAGGGCCAGCGGCACGGGGTGTTTTTGGTGCGGGACTCGAGCACCAGCCCCGGGGACTATGTGCTCAGCGTCTCCGAGAACTCGCGCGTCTCCCACTACATCATCAACAGCAGCGGCCCGCGCCCGCCTGTGCCACCGTCGCCCGCCCAGCCTCCGCCCGGTGAGGACAGAAGGGACGGGAGGCCCGGGGCGGGGGATGAGGGCCGCGGAACTCCCCAGCCTGGCTGGCTGCTCCTAGCGAGCTGACCTCCACGAGGGACAGGGGCAGAGGGCTGGAGTGACCATGGCAGGGGGGGCAGCCTGGTGCCCGGCCTCGTTCCCACCGACTAGCGGGCGTGTGTAGGGGAGGAGGAGCCGCTGACCCAGGCCTCTGGGTGTGACTTGGGAGGACAGCCCAGGGGAAGGGGAACTGCTTCGGCCCCAGGGTGGGGCTGGCGGCGGGGCCAGGCCCAAGGGCAGGGCCGGACAACGTGGGGACAAAGAGCCGAGGGGGATGTTGGCACTGCGGGGGCATCCCTTGGCACCGGTTTCCAGAATGAATCCGATAATCCTACAAGTGGCTTTTTAGGCTTGAAACATTTCCTGTAGTGTTAGAGAGCCGGGTTTGGTTTGGAGAGCTATTCTCCCCTGCTGGCCTTTGGTAGGAAGTCACCACATACTAGCCGGGAGGGATGGAGACACCCTCAGGAAGCCGGTCAGCTTTTTCCTTTCTTGGGCATTTTTCCAAAATACTTTTGCTGCCCTCTTCTCCCACAGAGGACGAAGGTGGTGAGCTAAGTGCCTTGGTGATAGAAGTAAGCCCTCTGTGATCAGCCCAGAACAAGTTGATGCCCCGCTGACAGTGTCCGAGAGATCTTAGCGCCCAGAGACAGTTTTCCGCTATTGGGGGGGGTTCTAGTTTTCACGGTATTTTGTGGAGGACATTTTTCTCCCCCCAGGAAATAAGCCAATAGAAACCGCCCTTTCCTTGAAAGCGAATGGACCTTGCAATTTCATTGGGCTTCAGCACTGTCAGTCTTGGGTGTCAGGGCCTCGCCTTTCTCAGTAAGTTGGGGCTGTGACCTAGGTTTTCCTTACCAAGGACCGTTGAGATGTGACTGTCTTCCTTACGCCGTTGGAGAATGTTAAGGAGGTTTGTGCACTTAGTACTTGAGATTTGTGCGGTACAGAGTAATTCTGAGGTTGCTGCCCTGTGTGACAGCACCGAGAGTCCTCGACCTTCTCATTGTTCACGCCTGGAAGCAGTTTCCGCCTGACCAGTTGAGGCAGCTCCAGGCCAGTCTCCATGCGTTAGGAAGCTCCCGAGCCAGGATTTGCAGACTTGCACGTTTGGGGTAGTCCTAATTTAGATTTCTTGACTCTGGCCAGAAATGGGGAGATAGGATAGTCAGCCTCTTTGTTGCTAACACATACCAATACATAAGTCTCTCAGTCCGTTGGATTTAATAGCATAACATGAGACCGGAATACTGATGTAACGGAGATTTGCCCGAAACCTTCTGCCACCTTCTTCGTATCTACGTCCTTGCAGTACAATGCAGTAATGTCACGGCAACTGTCACCAAAGCTCGGTTTTCACCCTTTTGCTTGCGTGTGTGTTTTGCAAAATTTGGAAATGGCAGCAGGCAGGTTTGTTAGTTTGAGCTTTCCCCACACCGTGGTGTTAATGACTTTGTGTCTCTGCACTTACCTTGATATTGAGCTCCACCTTTCCATAACAGATATGAGTTCAGATCCTTGGCCCAGGAGAGAAGGTGGAGATTGCCAGAGTTTGTGGATGGGGTGTGGAGCATTCGTGGGCATTGTGGTAATTCTTGTTTCTGGTAACGTGCCCACTTTTTCCACATAGAACAAGTGATTGAGTTGCTGTCTTTTTTTTTTTTTTTAAACATTTATTTATTTTTGAGAGACAGATCATGAACAGAGGGAGAGGGAGAGAGAGAGAGAGAGGGAGACACAGAATCTGAAGCAGGCTCCAGGCTCTGAGCTGTCAGCACAGAGCCCAATGCGGGGCTCGAATCCACGATCCATGAGATCATGACCTGAGCCAAAGTTGAACGCTTAACCTACTGAGCCACCCAGGTGCCCCATGAGTTGCTGTCTTTATAAAGATTACTTAATCTTTGTTCTCCCCCTCCTCCATCAAGCTATTTTCTTTTGAAACTACACAGAGGAATTTTTGAATTTTAGAAAAGCATGCACAGTATTAGCTAGCATTTCTTGACTGGTTATTCTATGCCAAGTACTTTGCTGAGTACTTTCTGTGCTTTATCTCATTTTCTGTCTATAACAATCTGGTGAGAAAGTACTATGATTGCTATTTATTGAGGTGTTTTCATTAAAAAAAATTTTTTTTTCCGTTTTATAGCTGAGGAAATAGAGTCAAAGATTCAGTAATTTGCCTGAGGTCACATAACTAGTAAATGGCTGAGCCAGAATTTGAACCTTTGAATTCTGACCAGAGAACTTACATTATTACACTGTACTTCTTTCTCTTCCCTTCTAAGATCTGAACAGTGCATGTAGAGGATTCAACACTTCTGTCTCTGGCCTGGGGTTACAGGTTCTATTTAAAGACCAAAAGGAAAGGATGACAAGAAGAAACTAGCTTTAGCATTTAGATAATACATGTCTGCCATCTAAAAGCAAATGATGAGGCTTTACATCCTTATTTGGTAATCTGAACATGAAAAATGAGCTTTTTATTTAAGATTATATAACATACTTTGTGGACATAATACATAGGTAGAATTTGTATGGAACGGTGTAGTTTTTAGAGTCACAGGGATAGGATGGATCAGATTTTCTCAAACTTTTACCATGAACCTATTTTTATTTTTTACTTTAATTTTTTAAATGTTTATTTATATATTAGTGAGAGAGACAGTGTGTGAGCAGGGGAGAGGCAGAGAGAGAGAGAGGGAGACAGATTCTGAAGCAGGCTCCAGGCTGTCAGCACAGAGCCTGACCTCGGGCTTGAACTCACACAAGCCGTGAGATCGTGACCTGAGCTGAAGTTGGAGGCTCAACCGACTGAGCCCCCCAGGCGCCCCCTGTAAACCTATTTTTAACTTAGATGTTCAGCTCCTGCAGGCTGCCATAGTCTGGGAGCACCCAGGGTGTGCCTCAGGGCCAGGCAGCGTTTGGTCAAGTCTGCTGGTCATATTCAGTCAGGTTAGACTTCGAGGTTGACCTCTGGAGAAGGCTTTGCAATCACTGATTCACACATTTCTTCTTCAGACAATGAGGTATTAGACCTTGACAGTAGACTGGATAAGTGTGACCTGGGAGAGTAGTTATGTTTGAGCTCTGGAGCTTGGATTTGAATCTTTCTTACTTGCCACTTACTACTTCTGTAACTTTGGGCGAGTTCTTTAACTTCTCTCTGTTTGCCCATCTGTAAAGGAAAGGGAAATAGTAATACTGATCTCAAAGGGTGGTTGTGAGGATTAAATGAGTTTTAGTGTATTAAATACTTATGAATGGCGTCAACATATAGTAAGTACTCAATAAGTATTAGATATATTAGTCTTATGAGGTTGGGAGAGCAGGAGTTGAAGCAAAATGGAAAACTCAGCTTTGAGAAGCTCACAGGTAGGCTTGGTGTGGGTTGGTGAAGTGGTCACCAACTGGGTGGAGGGGAATGGGGTGCATCACGCAGTGTGAAAGGACCTTGGATCCAGGACATGGAAATAAGATGACACTTGTTGTTACCTGCTTAACCCAGAGCCTTCTACCTGTTGCTCTAGTAGATGAAGGGAGCATAAAAGCTTGTCTCATTTTGAGGGGGCAGAAACTGGGTGGTTCTTGGTTTGTGCTGCCTCTTCAAGGTGGTGCTAAACCAAGCCACTTCTCTAGAGATCTTGTGGGACTGCTCATTACCCACTGCCGCTGGTTTGTTCCTCCACTGTCTGTTTCGCTTGTTTACCTCATCTTGTAGTTCTCAAACCTGGTCCTCCTGTTTTACTCCTCAGTTACAGAGAATCCATCCATCCAGTGGTTCTGGGGGGAAGTTCTTCAGTGGGTTGCTTACATGTTTTACAAGTAAAGGAGTCCATGGTAAAAGGAAGCAAGTTTATTTATTACAGGACTCCTCTAAGCCTTTACTAGACTTCTGTGAAAGTAGCAAGTGAGGCAGGTATTGGATACTGGGTTTTTCAAATATGTTTGACCATAAGACTTTTTGAGAAACATTTTGAGATTGCATAGAATCTTCTCTGAGAAACAGTATAGTGGACTTTGGCTTTGGGGATTAATTGAAAATTTCTGAAGGAATTCAGAGGTTTGGGTGCAGTATTAAGCCAAATTTGCTTTTTATTAAGCATCTGTAATGTACCAGCTACTTTTAGGAACTTTATTGTAATTAAGTAGGTGTTTGGCCCTATGAGAAGTTAAATGACAGCTCATACAGCTAGTAAATGGCAGAGCCAGAATTCATCAAACCCAGTCAGTCTGAGTCTGCAAAGTATCAGGCTGATAGACACCATTTTTAGAAAGTTCTATTTGCTTAGGAGACCAGACATTTGATACCTCTTTAGGAAACCTCAGATGGAAGTCAGCCTTTTTATCCCTTTGTATTAGACAGGTGGTGGGGTGTGTGTAAGCAATTTGTATAAATAGCGTAGGCAGAAGAGAAGGAGTGGGAATTAAGGAAAGGGGAAGGGAAAAAGGAAGTGCCGTGAGATCAAAGAGAGGATGATAATGGAGCTGCTGAGGTGGTACCCATGTCAGAAGTGACCTTGCCTGTCGTAGTCCACAGAGCTCTTGGGTGTTCACAAAACCTTCAGGGAGTGGTGTTGTAAAAACTGATGTAACCCAAGGGCTAAAATGCTTAAAAGTAGTGAGTTGGGCATGTACAGAAACCAAAAGAATATCTAATTGCATTGATTTTGATTTCTGAATATGTGTGTTCATAACTGCATGTTCAGAATACTGGCACAGGTTTATGTGGAACAAATCAGTGAGGTTTTCCAAGTTCCAGCAATGAGAACCTTGTCATTGGTTCTTTTCTCTAGACTGACTGACTGTATCTCCCTCCTTTCCCGCCCTTCTGTTTCCTGCCTTTGGCTCTTTGTGGTTGGAAGGAGATGGACTAAGGAAAAGGAACCAGAACACATAGCCGTGATGAGGTTTGGGCTTATCTGAGACTTAGCTTTGTTC